TTGAAAAATCCTGGGGCTCCGTGGCATACTATTTGGGAAACACTGAACGGAACTGTATATACCAAGATAAGGTATCAGTGATTGCTACAAATAACGCTCCCTCCGGGATATTATTGAACCATCTATATGTAACACAAAGTCTTCTTCACTGTCATCATAACATTCACTGCCCATGTGCTTCATTCCCAGGGCTCCACCTTCATAATTATCCACTGGTCTTTCATACTCTTCTTGGCATCTGTTAATATTGTTTGCATTGTTCCATTGTGGTTCGTCTGGGTCTTCTAAATCATCTATTGATATTAAACTGTTCACTGGATGTTTTATTTCTTTTTTTATAATATCAGGAGCAGAATCCACATCATCTAGTTGGAGAACATCTATTTGAGACTCTTTTTGCGTTTCTGATGGTGAAATGTAGTTCATAGTAATGGAGTCAACACGGAATATCAGTCTTCTCCTATAGCAGATAATTCCAACCAAAACACTTAAAAGTATCAGAAACAGAGCCCCACCCACTGCACTACTGATGATGGTACCCCAGTTTTCTTCCTGAATTGATGTTGGAAAATGCATTAATTTTGGTTCTGTTGCTAAACCTGCGATGCCATCAGTTGAAAGATGCCATAGAACCGTAGGTGGTCGTGTAGTAGCAGTAGTAGCAGTAGTAGGATTTAATGGAAAGAGGAATAGGGTAGACAAGACACAGAAAAGGCAAAGAATGTCAATGCAAGCTAAATCAGTAGAAGATTTATAAGAAAGCCAAGCTGATGAATATGTAAATGTGTTTTCTAACAACAGACAATGATTTGATGGAAAGAGGACTGGGGCAGAGAAGAAACAGAAAAGGCAAAGAATGTCAATGCAAGCTAAATCAGTAGAAGGTTTATAAGAAAGCCAAGTTGATGAATATGTAAATGTGTTTTCTAACAACAGACAATAGTTTTTCATTCTTAAATACTAAGAAGTTCGAGCAATTATGATTTTTTTTAAATATATGTAATAGTTTTTCAATAATTCTGAATTGATTTATGTTTATTTGGGTCTATAGGATAACCAGTATGGGTAAATGCTTTTATAGCACAAAAGCAATCACTGTCAATTTTTTAAAATAACCATGAATTCTCCTGAAAGAATGGAGAAGTTCCTTTTCAGTTTATGTACATTTTCTAGTTCACTATTTCCAACCAGTTTTATCTCATCAATGGAAGATATTATGTATGGCAAAGAAATACTGTTTGAAAGACTAATACTGGCAAAAGGACAAATAGCATCTTTACCATTAACTTAAACTTATATTAATCGTTTTAAATTTTGAAGTTTTCCAATGTGCCAAAACAAACTCTTAAAGAATGAAAAACATTGGGTGGTTAAGTTAACAGTAAGTAAAGTACTGATTTTAACTATTCTCCCTCAAACATTGGCTGTTTCAACAGAATCTCAAAAGCCTAAGTGGGGAACAATGAAGGAACTCAAAGTTAACTTATGTTATGGAGTTCTCTATGAATTTTTTCAAGACAATGTCAGTGTAATAATGCAACTTTAAATTTTAACCACTACTTCAGAGAAAACAATTGAACAAAGTCACTAAAAATCACTTGCTACAGAATGTCATAAATACGACATTTCCAGAATGCCATTTGGTTTTACTCTGTTTTAAGTGGTCTTTAAAAAAGTTTAAGTTTCTTCTCCCCTTCCTAATGGCATACATGATAAGTTTTATCTTGCTCTCTGAAGTTATGCGCAGAAGCCTAACATGGAATCTGCTTCTCGGGTCATCTTAGACCTTTATTTTCCTTCTGATTTTTTAAAGATGGCCTAATATGTGCAAATGGTTTAAAACAAAGTGGTTTCATGATCTCAAATTACAAAATTATACAAAGTATGTTTTTTTAAGTGCTGCATGAATTAGTGGATTCTTACCAGCTGCAAGCTTACTTAAAAATTTTCAGTTGTAAGAACTTTTATCAATTGACTCTGACTTTGGTTTACATTTTAGAGAGAATATTAAAAAAAAACCTACTTACACAATAGAAACCCAAGTATCCAGCTATCTTTAATTCATTTTTAACAGTTTGTTACTAATGAGGCAACTGAACACTGACAGTGAAACTGATGGGAATGGTTAAAGTAGCATTTAAGCTAAACAGCCTGAAATGGTAGTTACATGGCACTTCTCTTTGCTACGTAGATTCTTTACCATAGCAAGGACTATTACAGTAAGTGCTTTTCTGATTGAATTACTAACTGAAAGTCTGCCAACAATTGTGGCAATACCCCACCCACAAGAGACCACCACAGACATGGAACCCCTCAAACAAAGCAATTTTATTTTACTCCTTACCAGCTGACATTTCTGCAGTATGTCAACCCATGTCAAATTAGGTAGCATGGAAGTTGCCAATAATGCTGTCTTCAGCACAAAGGAAGGCAAAAACTTGCTCTAGAATGGTAGAGTTTACTTCTTTATCTTTAGTATGATTACTTAGAACTGGTATAGAATCTCTGATGAATTTTTTAAGTACTATGATTGACACTATCTCCTGGAAATGGTATCAGTGCTATTAATGTAATGTTCACTTCCTTTTGTTCTTCCCAGTTTTATTGTAACTTTAATTGAAGACTGAGTTTTAAACAACCCATTCTATAACGTGGCTTAGAAAAGCAATATTCAATTAGACACCTGGTACAATTTTTGACACAATAATTTAACAACGCATGCTTGGATAAGTAGGGAGAAACAACAACTCACCTAATATGTAGATTGTCTTTTGATCACTTTTTTCTCCAATGGAATCGGTCACCTTACACATGTAAGTCCCGATATAATTGTAAGTCAGTGGACTGTTGAAATGCAGAGTATTGTTAAAAGACATTAAACCTTCATGCCATTGCCCATCCAACCTAAATTAGACAATATTTTGAGGCAGTTTAAGCGCTCAGAATGTACATATTAAGTTTTACAGGCAGTCCCCTGGTTACGTACAAGATAGGGACTGTAGGTTTGTTCTTAAGTTGAATTTGTATGTAAGTCGGAACTGGTACATATTGTAGGGGAAACTCTAGCTAAACATTTCTCCAGAGCTCAGTTTTATTCTCCCACACCTCACTTCCCTCAGTCCTTTATTCTCAAGCTGAGGTGTCTGCTGAGAAAAGCCGCTCGGTTACGTACAAGATAGGGACTGTCGGTTTGTTCTTAAGTTGAATTTGTATGTAAGTCGGAACTGGTACATATTGTAGGGGAAACTCTAGCCAAACATTTCTCCAGAGCTCAGTTTTATTCTCCCACACCTCACTTCCTTCAGTCCTTTATTCTCAAGCTGAGGTGTCTGCTGAGAAAAGCCGCTCAGCGTCTGCTGGGGTGGGGGCGCTAGCTTCGCGTCTCCCTGGTCTGCTGGGGGGGGCGCTAGCTTCCCGTCTCTCTGGTCTGCTGGGGGGAAGCAGCTAGTGCGGGGTTGCCTCACCCCGTTTGTAAGTAGGGATCCGATGTAAGTCGGATCCATGTAACCCGGGGACTGCCTGTATATGCAAACTGTATTACCTGAAAAAAGTTAAATTATCTTATGTTTACTTTGATGAATGTAACTTATGTTACATGATTAAAGTTCTTTCAGTTAAAGCAGCAATATCAATGTTAAGTCTCTGGGTGCAGATCTGGGTCCCCTTTTCACTTGTTCTGTCAGAGATGGAAAACCAACGAGAAAATTAAAACACAAGCCCGCTTCTGTCAAGCCAAGTGCTCTAAGTGTCCAGTGTACAGTGGCTCGCTTATTCTACAGAAGAATGAGGCCTGGGATGCAATACTAATAGGTTAATCTCCTGCTTGGTATGAATTCAAAAGAGACTTAGGAAGAAAACCAAGCTGACTTTTTTGTATGCCCTCATGCATTCTTGATAGTGGACCCACCAAATAGTGTTCTACTGAGATACGCAAGTTCTTACTGCCCATACTGAAATAATAGTTACAAAATCTTAATGGCCAAATGAAAGAAGGAACAAATAAATGTCTGAAGGCTCAAAGTGGAAGTTTTTCAAAGAAATGAGAACTAAAGTGAGGTCCCACGGCTGCTGTTTGTTCCTAGATAGGAAAAAAAGGTTGACTAGGTTCCTGATCAATTTGCAGTGCAGAAGCTTTGTGTAGGAAGATGACCCTTGACTACCACAAAGCATAGAGAATTTCAGCTGTGTTGACATACTCTCCCCCCCCCCACTCCTGACTTCTCTCAAGTACTCCTAAGGGTACTCATCATACCACCGGTTGAGAAACACTGATCTAGTTAACTTAGAACTATCTCTATACCGGGAAGGTTCGGTGACAGAAGTGCTGTGGACATGCAAAAGTTGAAGAAAGTGAAAATCAGTCAAACTGGTTTCTTGTCCTCCCATGGTCAACAATTCATGGCCACATTGCTAGCTCCCTACTCTACACTACAAAGTTAATTCGAACTAACGGACGTTAGTTCGAATTAACTTTGATAGGCGCTACACATACAAACCGCTAGTTCGAACTTAATTCGAACTAGCGGAGTGCTTAGTTCGAACTAAGTAAACCTCATTCTACGAGGACTAAGCCTAGTTCGAACTTGTAGCCCCTTAATTCGAACTAGTGGGAGACTAGCCCTCCCCAGCTTTCCCTGGTGGCCACTCTGGCCAACACCAG